TTGTGTTCAGGTTGTGTTTTCATAAGTGTATCGGCAAGAAAAGATCTGTTCTGCAGTTACATATATCGTGGATATCGCTATGAAAAAACAAGGTCACAAAGCAAGAGTATTGCAAAAATCTACTTCAAACTTGAATGATTTTATGGATCCAGAAGCTTCTTGCGTATGCCCCTTTGTGAGTACAAATTTCATTATGTTCTCAGTCCTGTGTGCAAATTTGATTGAATTCGTTGGGGGCAATCACATTTAAATTGATGTTTATAATTGATTATCTATGACACATTTATCAAATTAAGTCCCCTTTTTGAGAACTTTACAGCTTTTAAGTGTAAAGTACCATGGTCTTCCGATTTCTTCATTTTCTTCCTTAATAGGTTGAATATTAATGTGGTCTTTATTAAAATGTTCATCTTACATTAGCTTTGGCTCACTGTGCTGGTAAACTTTGCAAAAAATACAAGAGCGCTGCCAGTGTTCGGCTGATAAAGGAAATCCCCGGCGGCGCAGGTAAATGACCCCCTGACCTGGGGAAGCGCGGGCTTGCTTGCCTCGCACCAGCCGAAACTAAATGGGCGCTCCATACCCGCTGTGCACGGTGTATTTAACATAATGTAACAGGAATAAACTAGTTCTGAAAATGTAATACAATGCACCATGTTAGCACTATGACTAGACATGCAGACTTTTAATCATTTTAGTGCAGTATCTGTGATACATCTTCAGAGACCACAACTCAAGTTTGACTGACAACAATAACTCTAAATAGACGTTAACACTTTACTCCCAAGAACATCTAACTTTCACAATAAAAAAGTATTTTCATACTTTAATCTTAACTTCCTAAAAATCAAAAGCATAAGAAAAAAAAAACGTTTTAACTACATATGATTTACCAGCAGACAAATCGAGACACTGTAAAATGAGAACCGTCTTTCCACCCGGAGCAGCACAAAGGTCAAGGACTTGATCTTCAGACTGAACATTCAAGGCTATCACAGGCATCACCGAGGCAGCATCCATCAGGTAGTAGCCTAGGCAGAAAGCAAAACAAGAGCTGAGATCTCAATTTCAGTAATACTGACTCTTCCAACACAAGGAAAGTACTGAAAGTTACTTTTGGAGAAGAGGCGGAAGCTCCGTGTCAATAAAATTATTCATTGTTGATAAGCAAAAATAAAAACTTGTGCTGAAACAGATTTTGAGAGGTCAAAAGCCTTTATCAACTCAGTGCTGATTTTAAGTTAATTCAAGAGGAGAAACTTAAGTATTATTTACTGATTAAAATACTATTTAAAAATTCAACTTACGCAGAGGTTTGAGTTTTACCTTGACACCTATTTCAAGACAAAGTTAGTAAAAACAGTGGAAAAATGCATGAACTAATTTCCTCAGCTGATAAAAGCAATGCAAAGCCCTAAAACTTTCAAAATAATCCCCCCCCCCCCCTCAAAAAATAAAAACCATATTCAACTGAAAGGTGGGAAGGGGGGGGGGGGGCTGAAACTTACAAGCTCCATGGTTGGGGGGGATGGACTGTATAAAGCAAGGGATGGGGAGGGTTTAGGGAAGGGATTGAAAGATGAAAAAGCTTAGAAATACTGCTTGGTGAACATATAAAAATAACTTAGGAGCAGGGGAAGGGACAGGCATTAGGTTGAGTTTACCATAGTTAGTACTTCCACCAGGCTCACTTGTGCCTAAGCAAACCATTAAGACACTGAAAGTTGGCAAAGTAATTTTGCGTACTTCATGCTAAAGAAATTTAGTTGCAGTGTATTCAACAACTTCAGAAAACAAAAGACCACTGAAATCAACGATTTTAGGTTTGAATCTCAGAATCATGCCAAGAACAGAGACAGCCCTGCCGTAAACTGACAAAACGCCTTTTTTCTTTTTGACACCAAATTTTTTAATTTGTTAAGGGGGGGGGGAGCTACACCTGAAGGCTATCTCGCTTATTACTGGACCGAATTTTACCAAATTTCACATATACAACAAGCATAGTAAGGAGTCTTAAAATCCGCAATCAAATTTGAGAAAAAATTGTGTTTCCATGGATACGGCGGCCATATTGGATTTTGTTGACATGTCTTAAGGAATGAATACCGCACTTATCGTTCATGGAAATTAATTGTTCTTTTGCATGCGTGTTCACAAACATCAGATCTAAAAATTCATCTGTTGTTTTTTTCCTAAACGAATTAGAAGTTTTTTAATGAATTTTTTCCTGAGGTAGCATTCAAGTTTGCTAAAAATCTGTGAAAATCCACACCCCAAACACCACCAACAAAAATCTATTCCATATATCAAAAATTCAACAAACAGATTTTTAGTATTACCTCTTCTCTTCATTCTGTGAAAATTTCATGAAGATTGAATGAAAAATGGTGGAGTTATTAAAAAAAGTATAGTGAAAAGTCGCGTTTTGAGAAAACGGCCGATAAAGAAAATAGAATACTGACTTTATGAGGAAATGGCGGTCATAAACATGCCCGGTATGGGAAAAAATACGGTTTTGGGAGGTTCTCATGCGATGAAATAGTTGTAGGAGAGGCTGAGGAAGCTAAAAATGCCTACAACTCAAATTCCATAATTTTGGGCCGAATTTTGACTTTGGGGGTGTAGCCCCCCCCCCCCCCCCCCCCCCCCTAAATCTAAAGCATGATCAGTTACCCTACTTGTGTGAGAAAATCAAAGAGAAATTGAGACTAGTTTTTTTAAAATATGTATAAATTAGAATTCAAATTTCAGAAGCATTCTATTTTCAAATGGTTACGCTGACAAAAAAAACTTTTTTTCTTGAGAATGCTGTGAATAAAAAAAAGGCGTTTTGTCAACTTATGCCAGAGCAGTAGAACATCTAATTAAATTAAGTTTCAAGGTGAGGCCCATACAGTATCATACACTTGTTGGAAAGCAATTCTTCCTCTATTGATGCCCAAAAAAGCATTCACAGTACAGGTTCTTGACGACATAAACAAGACTTTACACAGACAAGGAGTTTTCATAAGTTTTTATAATTTGAAGGAATACAACAACCTTTTTGTTTCGTTCCCTCTGAATATCCTACATACATAACAAGTTTTTTTTATTTCTTTAAACAAGCATCTAATCATTTTATAAGTGATACTGAATTGAGCGAAATCAAAAGAACCAAGTTCCAAGTAGGTCTCTTGGACGGACACAAGAAAGAAGAGTTTCAGCTGCAGCTGAGAAACAGATTTCAACCTCTGGCTGATCTTGGCGGTGAGGACACGGAGGTGAATACACACTGGACCAAGGTCAAAGAAGTCTTTACATCAACATGTCAAGAAATACTCGGTGGGAAGAAATGGGAGCACAAGGAATGGATTAGCCAACACTCATTGGATTTAATTAGGATAAGAAGACAACTGAAGGCAGAAGCGAATGCAAGTAGAACAAGAGGATCAAGAGCGGATGTATTGGAGCAGTACAGGACAACAGCTAAAGAATTCAAGAAATCAATAAGAAAAGACAAGGAGGAATTCATAAACAGGCTAGCAGAGAAGGCAGAGGAAGCAGCGATAGGAGGGCACATGCGAATCCCTTACCAGACCACAAGGACACTTGCTGGAAAATATGGGAAACCTGAAGTACCTGTAAAGGACCAAGACGGGAAAAGCATTTTTGGAAAGGAAGCTCAGTCTAAGCGATGGGTAGAGCATTTCAACAGTCTCCTGAACAGACCACCACCGAGTAACCCACCAAACATACTGCCAGCAAGAAATGAGTTACCTATCTGCTGTGATGCTCCTTCAAAACAAGAGATTCTGGATGCCATTAAGAAGCTGAACAAAAGTAAAGTGGCCGGTCCCGACCAGATTCCACCTGTAGCCCTAAAAACAGATGCCAATGTGACGGCAGACATCCTCCTCCCACTGTTTACCAGGATCTGGAATGAGAGCAAGTTCCCAAAGGATTGGAAAGAAGGACACCTCGTGAAGCTTCCAAAAAAGGGGGATCTCAGCAACTGCAGCAACTACAGAGGGATCACTCTTCTCTCAATACTAGGTAAGGTCTTCAACAGAATCATTCTGGAAAGAATCAAGACAGGAACGGATCCAAGACTACGGGATGAACAGGCCGGTTTCCGGAAAAATCGCTCAACCACCGACCAGATTGTCACGCTGAGGATTATTATTTATTGTGGAACAGTCCCTGGAGTGGAACTCCCAGCTGATTGTCAACTTCCTTGACTATGAGAAGGCCTTTGACAGTATAGACCGAGCGACACTATGGAAGATAATGAGACACCACGGAATCCCACAGAAGTTGGTGAACCTCATCAAGAGCATGTACGAAGGGACAAGTTGCAGGGTTGTACATGATGGCCAGCTCACGTACAGCTTTGACATCAAGACTGGAGTGAGACAGGGATGCTTACTATATATCACCGTTCCTCTTCATATTGGCAATCGACTGGCTGATGAAGGAAACCACCAGAGGACACAGAAATGGTACACAGTGGACACCATGGACACAGTTGGACGATCTGGATTTTGCAGACGACTTGGCGCTTCTGTCGCACACCCAGGAACAGATGCAAGCAAAGACTTCAGTATTAAACAGCCTATCGGAGTCTGTTGGATTGAGGATCCACCCCGGAAAGTCAAAGGTCCTAAGGACAGATGTACAATGAAAGGAGCAGGTCACAATAGAAGGAAAGGTCCTAGAAAACGTTGAATCCTTCTGTTATCTTGGGAGCATAATTGACAGAGAGGGAGGAACAGGTGCTGAAATAAAGTCCCGCATTGGAAAAGCACAGGCTGCTTTCATATCTTTGGATAGGATTTGGAAGACCAGAGAGATCTCACTTCGAACAAAGCTGAGGATTTTCAATTCAAACGTGAAGTCAGTCCTGTTGTATGGATGTGAGGCATGGAACGCATCACAGACTTGTATAAAGAGGATCCAGGTTTTCTTGAACAGGTGTCTAAGAGAGTTACTGAGGATCAGATGGACAGACAGGGTCACCAAGTGTTAAGGAAAACAAGACAGATCCCAGTCAGAGATGAGGTAGGAAGAAGGCGGTGGCGATGGATTGGACATACTCTCAGGAAGTCAGGCAGCTGCATAACAAAGAAAGTTTTGGATTGGAACCCACAGGGCAAGAGATCAAGGGGAAGACCTCGTGGAACTTGGAGAAGAATCACAGAAATCGATGTACAGAAAAGTGGGAAGACATGGAATAACATCAAGAGGCTAGCCCAGGATAGAGAAAAGTGGAGGGTGTTTGTCCGTAGCCCATACCCTGATGCAGGGTGAGAAAGGCAATGATGATGATGACTGAATTCAGCAAGTTATAATTCTTATTTCAATGTGATAGCATTTTACAGAATTAAACAACAAACAAAACATTAAATAAGCCATGGACCATGAATATCTTTTGTTCATTTTAAACCCAGAAATTAACTTACCAAATCTATGATTATGTGATTTAGCTGGTGGGAACTGTGAAACATCACCAGCCGGGAAGGCAAATGCTTCAATATCTCTTGCAATGTTTATGGATTCCGGTCGCTGGACTTGTACATCAATGTTTCTGGGTTCAAACATGTTCAAATTCAGTTCATCTTTGAGAAGTTGGTCCCGTTCTGACAAAACTTGAACTGTCGGCACAAATACATCAATGTTGTCTTTGTACAATTCATCGTAAATTGGATCAATTTCTTGTCCAGTCTGAAGCCCATGATCAACTCGATCATCCTCACAGAATACTTTTTGTTGAGACTTTTCCAATAAACTTTCTCTTGGAGAACTGTTGTAAAGACTAGAATAGGACCTGTTGAAGCTATTTTCATTAGCAACCAAGTCCAATTCAGGAATTCGTTCTGAAGATGTTTCAACACTATTATGTGACAAAGTCTGCTCAGTTAGAGCCTCTTGCTCCAGTTGTCCTTGAAGTCTTCTTGCACTTTTAACGAGGTCATCTGCACCAAGATTCGACAGCCTCAATCTTGCCTTTTCAGGATCAGCAAATTTATTTATAACAGCACAATGTTTAGAAAGAGAGAGCAGTGACACCCTAATCAGGGGCCATTTGTCCCCATAAAAGGGCTTATAAAAGGCATCAAAATGATCCAGAGCTTGCTGACAGCCAGTGTTTTGTTTCAAGTGCATTGCCTGAGAAGAAATGAAGAACAATTGTCACAAAATAAAAATAAATTTCCTTTACTCAAAAAAATTTAAAATTGAGACTATTATTCATTTTGCAAAAATATTTTTAAGTGAAATCCAGAAAGTAATATGGTAAAAGTACAAAATGAAATAACAAAGATAAATATTATGCCTACAGTCAAACCTTGTTGTACCGCTAGCCCCACTTACAACCAGGTTTTGCCAATGTACAAAAAGAATTCACAATATAAACATAGTATTTGCGCCATCCACCACCTGTCTCAGTTGTACGGTCTTTATTAAACTACTGTAAATTTACCCTGTTGTACTGCCAGCGAACCGCCCCCCTGAAGTACACAGTAAGCACAAAGCTACACACGGCACATCCATTTGGTGGTTGCTTGACAATCTTTCACACACAAGTCTCTACGAGCTACGCATAGGAATAGATCAATAAGTAACTCAAAGCGGCCAAAATGGTCAGATAGAACTTTGTAATTCTAAGTTTGTCATGTGCCTGTCGGAGAGTTCTGAAATGATCAAAATCAGACAAAACATTTCTCAGTTTCTTCAAGCTTCAAATAGCTGGAAGAGGAATACAAGAGCTGCTATACTGCCAACACCATTACAAAATTTTAACATTTGTTTTGAGAAATGGGAGTAGCAAATGATCAAATTTGTGTTTTCAAAAAGACAACTCAAAACAAAACTTCTATGTTACATACTAAAGTATAGGAAGCAAGATGAAAAAATTAAAAGTCTCTTCTAGAACAGAACATTTTTGTTGATTCTGATGTAGAAATGGTATAGATTTCTTCAAACCTATTATCATTTTGTTAATTAATATTCGATTTCCAACTCGAATAGACAGTTTCACGAAACAGCCTAAAAATCCTAGATGCACCACAAAAAGAGCAAGAAGGAAATGCACGAGAAGACGGTCAATCCTTCTGCTGTCTTAGGAGTACAATTGACAAAGAGGGAGGAACATAGCTGAATTTAAGTCCCAATTCAAAAAGGCACAGGCTGCTTTCATGATATCTTCTCTAAATAGGATTGGGAGAACCAGATCTCACTCTGAACAAAGCTGAGGATTTTCACCTCAAATAAAATGTGAAGATTACAGTGGAACATGACAATAGCGGCACCCACTACAACGAGACCTTACTGGAATCCCCCCCCCCTTTTTTTTTTCTATGTAAACTCAATTACATAAGTGCTCCGGTTTAGCGGGACATGGAAAGGCCTGAACTCAGATCAGATAAAGCGGGAGAGATCGAGTGAGCTCTAGCTGGGGGAAGGGGGTTTGGGGGCTGTAGGTGGGCTCCATACAGGCAGTTAGCAGTGCGCGTTGTGATTGGCCAGTCCGGTGATGAGTGAGGTGGGGCAGGCAGCAGAGAGAGATGGTGCGGAGAGACACATTACGTGAGAAACTCCAAAAGTGATTTACTGTAGCTTAGACGCTCAATATGAGAGCATATAGGCCATAGCCCTAGGTCTATACAAGGCTAGCCTTGGCCAAAAAGTAAAAGACGAGGAGAGCGTGCAGCCTGAGATTCCTCATTCATTGAATTGTGATCGTTGATGCTCAACGTAACGATAGACAGCACAAGCAACGAGACAGAGGAAAAGATGGCTTCCAACAAAGACAAAAGGAAATGCTTCTTACTCAAATTAAAGGCTGAGATAATCAATGAAGTTGACAAGAAAAGGAAGACTTATCATAAGCGCAAATTTGATTGATATGGAAGGGAAGCAATCATGTGGATTTGAAGAAACCTTTAGGTAATTTCCCCTTCGCCTTCGTATAGCAGGAACTCGCCTACAGCGGGATTTTTCTTCTGGAACCAAAAGTCCCGCTATAGATCTAGCCATGTTCTACTGTATACAATATGGTTGTGAAACATGGAATGCATCTCAGACTTGAATAAAAATGAGGATTAAGGTTTTCTTGAACAGGTGTCTGAGGAAGTTACTCAGATGGACAAAAAGGGTCACCATCGAGGAAAAGTGTTAAGGGGACAACATGACAGTACAGAGCCTGATCGGAGATGAGGAGGGGACAAGGTGCAGTGGCCACGGATTGGACATTATACTCACAGGAAGCCAGGCACCTGCACAACAAAGAAATTGAGTGGGAGCTCTCGTGGTCTAGAGGTTAATATTTAATAAGGTGTTCGCTCTCATTAAATAGGTCGTGGGTTCGAATCCGGATAGCGATGGAAAATTTTCTCCTTTCACATCCTTTCCTGCTCTCTAGTCAATGTTCTATCGTCTGCTTTCATCTCCACTTTCTGCCTCCACCCCCTTTGCCTCCTCTGGGCTCCTGATTCTTTCTGCAGCCTTTCTGCTGTTTTTCGTCGAGTTCCGCAATAAACCCGCAATTTTTTTCAATTTTGTGCAATTTTAGGCAAAAATACATCAACGCTTTAATTTTATCAGAATTTTTCATACGAAATGGTGCGAATACAGAGCCGATAGGCCAACGTAATTCATGGTATCAGCCCAGCTCAAGCCTACTGAGCGTACTCTAAAAGCTATAATCGGAAATTCAGGCCGGAATGCATAATGTACAACACGAACTGAGACATAGGCTAGGCCGAGAAGGTAGCCTTCTCTGGGCTAGGCCTTTATCTAATGTGTGTAAGCGTGCGCGTGTGATAAGAAAGTAGGTGTGTGCGTGTGTGAGGTGTACGTGTGTGTGCGTGTGAGTGCACGCGCGTAAACATTGTTCATACATGATGCATGTGTCTACATACACGGTAACCGGGCCCCTAGTCTCAGTATCTATGTACACAGTAACCCACCGGAATGAAAATTAACCAATATTTGTCCTGTGCTGTCACTTGTTGAAATAAAAAAAGAAAGTTATACACGTGTCTCATTGGGCTCGCCATCGTTACCGGTCAGTGAACCTGTGCTTTCGCATCACATTGTGAGTACCCGTTGGGGTCACCAAAGTTCATTCAAAGTCTGTGCGCTACGAAGTACAGGGCTACGGAATGGGAGAATTATTGATTTTTTAAAAAAAATGTACAGTCGGGGGAGGGCTGGAGTTGAAGGCAACACTGGATGACAAAAACTGAACTTGGAATCCTGAACTGCCCGGTTACCGTGTACGTAGACACTGAGGCTAGGTGTCCGTGTACCGTGTACGTAAACACCCCGAACTGTAAAACGCCTTAAGCTGCGTTCACACGGGAGTGGGTGCTATAGAAATGATCTAGATCTACATTAGTACATGTATTACTATTGTTTATAAATGGAAAAAAAAAAATTGCTGTATTTTACGATTTGACTTAGTGTTAAAACAATACCATGCCGGTTTTAAAACAGAAAATATCTGAAATAGATCTAAATACAGATTACCATGTATCAAAGGTTTCAAGAGAAAAATAGAACAGGATCTGGTTTGATTGGAACATAAAGCTTATTTTGTATTTAGAAGTTACTTCGAAAATCTCTCGTCAATTTTTTTGTTTTTTATAGACTAAACCTCATACACTTCTAGATTTTTGCATGAACCAAGTACCCGGTATGTACTAAATTTGGTCAAATTTTATGCCTTCATTTAAAAGTTATTACGAAAACCGAGGGTTCCGTTATTTTGTGTCGCGCATTATCATGGTCGATAACTTTATTGTTAACATACTCGTGTGTTGTTACTAGTAAATGTTGTTAATAACATTTGATGAATTTGTATTGTTTGTCATGATTTTTTTAAAAGCTGTGCTGCTTTTATGCTACCGGTACTCCAAATTGTCATGTTTTTTAAACTAAAAATGTTAAGCCCGAAATAATGCACCTGGGATGGGAAGGTTGCAATTTTTTGCAATTTTTTAATTTCAAAAATGCAATTTTCCACGGGGCCAGATAATTTGATGTTTTGCAGTTGTTAGGTTTGATAACTTACCTCGCCGTGAATCAAACGTACAGATCTAAATATATCTACACTCAAATATAAGGGGGGAGGGGGGGGGGGGGGACCGAAAACTCTTTGTCTTTTAAATTTAAAGAAAGTGAACAAGGGGCAAAAACTTTACCTTCAATTTTCTCAAAACAGCATTTTTCGGGATAGCCCCCTTGAGCTTAAAAGCGACCAATTGAGGCTAGCCCTGCAAAATGGAAAGGTGGAAATGGAAAGTGTTAGTTCGTGGCCTATGCGAACGGATCCAGGGTGAGAAAGACCATGAATGCTTGAAGATGGTACTATTTTAGTCAGGAATAAAAGTGTGTAGTACAGTAGGCCCTTCTCACTGTACAGCCTGGCTAGGCCCAGTGTGAGTGTCAGAGTCAAAGTTTGAGTTTGATGAGTCAAAGCGACCAGCTCAGACTCAGAGAGTTGAGTTCGCGAGGACAAGACAACATAAATTGTAGTTCGCTGGGAGTCCTTCCAAGACCCCAAAAATAAATTCAGGTAGCACTTAGAATTTCCATTTTTTTAAAATTAAAGCGCAAAGGCATAGACTAGACCACGGAGACGTTGCAACTGTCATCATGTGAGCCCAATTTATTTTAATTGGCTCCGAGTTGATAGTGAAAGCGAAAGTAGAGAGTAGAGAGACTTGGGTCTGTCCAAGATCTGGATTCCAAAACAAAACCTGAAAAATCAACGTAACTGTAAATCGCAACATGCCCGCTTACCCATTTCTTTTTGTAACGAAAACGGCATGGAATATACATATATTTAGGAAGAGCAGGCTCGTTGTGCCTCCAAAAAGGGCCGAATAATACTCTGTTGAAACTGCGCATAGTGACCCTTCCCAAATGTTTGACTGTAGGCTAGGTCTACTGTGCGGATTTTCTGAGACTGAGGAAAAGTTCGGCAAAATGTGCACACTTTAATCCTTTTGCGCATGTCTCTATTCGGACTTCCGTCAAGGCATTCCGTCTCTGGAGATATTTGTTGACAGTCTGAAATTTCCTGCTCTTGCCGCAGTGAAAATACTGTAATTCGGGCTGTTTCTGTCTTAAAGCACAATGTTAGGGCCCTGAAAGATATAAAATCAATATAACCTGAAAATTTCCCACTGTAGAGGTAGGTCAGTACTGGAGAAAATCTCGAACTAGCGTCTTTTTATTCCATAATTGTAAGCAGTCTTTCGCTTTCTTTGGCCAAAAGACAATTTTGCAATTAAAGTCCATAGTTACCATGTCTTTGACGCTTGGGTTTAAAAGTGAAGGGCTCAATAATTGTATATTTATTGCTGCTATCTATAGTAAATTGTATATTACTATTTTTTGTAGATTGCAATTGCTCGTAGCTTTTGTGGTTTTGAGTTTGTTCTGCCTTTCCTTTTCACTACTTTACTACTACTGGAATTTCTCTCTCACTGCTCTCTCTCATCTGCTGTCATCAAATCACTTCAACTTCATAACTGTTTCTTGATCAAGATGAAGTCAGGACTTAGTCTGCTAATCTTACTCTTAGACAGAGTCATGCAATCATGTTTATGAGAAGTTCATCATCCCTAATTCTTTCCTAAAGTCTTTTAAAGTTTTAAATAAAGTCTCAACATCATAAGTTGAACGTAGACTTGTCTAGAGATCTAGATATATAGATTAGACGAAGATTCTCTTCTATCCTGCCTTTTCTTCTGATTCCCAGTGACCTGTGGGTGCAGATTTTAAGATTGATCTGAAAGGTTTTGAAGCTTTTTTTAACTGAGATGTTTTTAAGCTTGTACCATTTTGTTTTAAAGCATGGCATAGTTATAGGTTCAGTGTTTTTTCAGTTGGTGAGCTTGGAAATAAGTTTTTTTGTGTTAACATTTTTTTATTTTATCATCAGTTTCACTACTCACAACCTGCATCTTAAGTTGTAATTGATCATTGATCCCTGCATTAAAATTCGGCCGGCTCTGTTTCTCCGAACGTTCAGAAAAATAAACTTGAACTCTATTTCTCCAAACGGTTTGATCGAGATTTGTTGATAATAAGCGAATGGAGTGGCCAGTGTGTGTGTAAGGTGTGAACAGGGGGGGGGGGGGGGTTTACATGAAGGATTTTAGTTTTTGCTGGGTAACTAAATGCAAAATAGGTTACTGCCAAGGTCGAGCAGACTTGTTTTCTCGCAGAACCTGTTGAAGGTATTTTCAAATGAAACACATAGTCCAGGAACGTTGCTCCAACCACAACTTAAGTATCTGAATATTTAGACATTTAGAAATCTCTAGCTCTAGAAATGGAATTTGTTTTAAAAAATGCTTCTACTTCAGAATGGCAGAATGAAAGGATGACGCCTAAATCTAGCAAATAACTGAAAAATCTCGAGATCAGATACCGTTCGGAGAAATAGTGTTCAACTTTATTTTCCTGAGCGTTCTGAGAAATAGTTACTTCGTTAAGAAAGAGATCATAGCATTTGGTGCAAACTCTCACCTAACAGCAAGCTCTGTCCTTTGCAATGCAATGTATTATAAATCACCCCAGCAGATCTGATGGCATTCTGAATGTCTATCAACTTCCTGGGAAGGAGACAGTGCAAACTGCCATTTTTATCATATTCTGTATGGGGTTAGCGGATGGACAGGTTAATTATTGGCAGACTCGGTCAGATCGAGTGGGTAATAGACAGCTGTGCGAGAGGACTGCAAGCCCCAAAATAGTTCGCTGCTCCTCAATTTTATTCTCTCAGCGAGCGGACAAACTCTAGCCTAGCAGACAAGAGCTAGTGGACTTCGAACCTCAAGTCAGTTTGTGTCTTGAGTCCGCTCCACAATTTTAGTCACTAAGCGGGCAGGGAAAGGACAAACTTTTTAGCAGACAGGATACTCAATGCGAGGTTAAGCCCATTGTTTGTTGTTTGTTAAATAAAATTAGGCCTAATATTTCAAGCCACTAGCGGTGCCGCAGGGGCTGAGAGAGGCTGGTGACGTAGTACTACATGTGTTACCTTTCACCTTGTGTGTGGGTCACTCTGTGTACGTTCTGATTTATCACGAAGGTGAAATTTAAATAATTCACAAGGAATTTTTTTTTATGGGGGAGGGGGGGGGGGGGGATTTCCGACATGAACGCCTAGCTACAATGTGGGGCAAGAGAGTGATTTTTTTTTTTTTGGAGGGGGGGTGGGAGGTAAGTAGTATGCAAATGAAGGAGTCGCTCCTTCTGTTCGCCCACTCAAATGCACGAAGTCTCTCCCTCTGCTGGTCCACTCGCGCGCTCAAGGAACTGTTGTCTCTGTCAGATGTGTAGCGAGTAGCGAACGAATCTTCATCACCCATCCGCTCGTTTGTGAGTAGTACCAGCGAACCGTTCGTTACTTATGGATGCTGATTTAGCGAGTCTGACCCAACTTTTCTCTATAGACACTACTAAAATAAAACACCAACCTACTCAACTGACAAGATCTTTTGTTGTCTATGGCCAGGTTCTCGTTCTCACCTAGGTGAAATGAGGCAAATGAGTGTCAAATTCCCACTCCTGACTTGCCTCTATTTCTGATTTTAGTCCTACATTGTGCTATGATGCGATAACTCCATCCCAATTTTTTAATATAAAAGTCTATCAGATTTTAAAATCTTAGACCTAGGCTAGACCAGCACTTTCCTAAAGCAGACCCATGTTTCCTTTCTTGCATTTTCATCATATTGTGGGAACATGGTCAGATGATTCTATTTTCAAAGTTTTCTATTGTTGCTATGATGTATAGAGTATTGTCTTTTTTGCTCTTTTGTCGGAGGAGGGGTGGGGGTGGAAGAGGGTAGAAGTGGGGGGGGGGGGGTTCAGAATAACTGGACTTAAGTCAAGGGCCACTCTTCCTGATTCATTGAAGTGTGAATTTTTATTTTCTATTAAAGCTAAATGCAGGGCTTTTTTTGTGACCTCAAGTGCCTCGTCATGGCAGTAGTCATGGAATGCGTATGTATGTTTTTCTCCATTTCATTCATTTACCAGTGGTTATGGTATTTCGTTCAACGCTAAGCCTTCCATTGCTCTCAAGTATTCCTTAACAAGATATTTGCAATGTGACACCACCAGTGATCTAAAGTGTATTATTTTGTGCACATATTAAAAAAGTAGATAAGGTCTGATTTTTTACAAATTATCATCCTAGTTATCAGTAATCCAACCAGAGCCTGAGAAGATGTGTCCGTGAAGTTCATGGCAGTTGTAATCAAGTACAGTTTTCTTTATGACAGGAAAGAAAGTGAATGGCAATGGATAGCAAAAAGTCAAGCAAGCCTTTCTATGCTTTGCCTGAGAAGACCCCAACAAGCTCTCAGATCATCAATGCTGCCCGTTCATCTCTTCGTACTTTTGATACTCGAAGACCAAACACTCCTCGCGATGAACAAAGACATTTGTTCCCTTCCTCGACTACTCGAGCTCCTGAATCTCGACCACCAAGTTCCTTTAGGTAAGATTGGTTTTTCTTCTATTTCAGTGTTTATTGTGTGACTTTTTGGGGGGGTGGGGTTGAGGTGCATGACGATATAACCTTTGCTGCATATTATGTTCTAATGTATGGTGTTGAACTGATCAAGTTGAATACATCATGTAGTTATTTTGAGCTCTTGAAAAACTTCATTTCACAGTGATGTGATGATTGAAACTGTTTACCCAGCAGTAGCAGTTGCTCTTAGATTCAGTTAGATCTTCTGCCTCTATTATAATACACAATATATAATTGCTCATGGAAGAGATTGTGAGTATGTTGTTAAAGGGCTAGTTAGTGAACATTTAGATTCAGTTGAGTGTTAGATCGCTTTCAAGTGTCATACAAAATTTATAATAATCAGTTTACTGTCTTAAAGAATCACAAAATCTAGATTCTGAGTTTAATTTCAAGAGACATTAAATATCTTTTGTCAATTTTTATCTAGCTTAACCTCAAGACACTTTGATGGCCCGGATTCCCGCCCAGTGTCTGGAACAAGATTGTCACCATTAGACCATGTAAGTTATAAAAAAAATTTAGTGACTAAAGGCTTATTTTCTTATAAAATCTGTATACATAGTATCTGTTTTTATCGTGTATTTACTTGTATTTAAAACTTTTGTTTCGGTTTATGTAAGTTAAATGAAATTAAATGATCATGGTGCTTGTATGATAAGTAGGAATAAGATATTTCCTATAGGTGCACAGCTTTGTACCATGTTTGTGAAGATATTTTTGCAACTTTCTCCTCTATGCGACTTTTTATTGATGACTGTAAATCATAAAGACTCAAGTAATTCTCCCCAGGTTGGCGATATGCAGCTAAGATGTGTTTTGTAGTTACATCACAAAAAGAGTAATTTATTCCAGTGTTAAATATAGTAAAACAGCCGCGATTACTACTTGGAGATGTACAATTTTGAGAAGTGTAAGACTGAAACTTCAAGAGAAAAATTAGAGAGTGTAGAAACTAAAAGGGCTATCTTTTGTCGACACAAAATTGATGAAACTGGTTCAGAATTGAGGGTATAGGCTCCGGGGTGCATGAGAATATAGAAAATGTTTAATCAACATTGCTGATCCATGGTGGGCGATGAAAAAACTAATTGTATGGTAATGGACTCATCGTTTTTAGAACATTGTTCTCACTGTTCCCATAATGTAAGTCACTCTGCCATGTGGTTAACTGAATGGGAAATTTTCAAGATTGGAATCATTTGAATCAATGGCAATTTTTCCCTCACCTCTTCAATGACCTGGAGCTATTCTTCGTTTGTTTTTTAGATCGGGGTAGAGCCTTGCAACTTTTCTATAAAATAAACTGGCAGCAAACGCATAAATTTGATATTTTGGGAAGATCTAGAACAGTCATCTGCTCCAAAGTTTTCAAGCTTGTAATATTTTATATTTCTTGCCTATCTTATTCCTTTTGACTTTTTTTCATACCATTTCTTTCTACACCCAACTGACCACACTTTTAGAGCTGTTCAGGAGATCAACTTTTTTAAAGAAATGACAGTACTTGCACTTATCCAAAAACAGTGATATGTGTTCCCTTTAGTCTAGGAAAACAAAGAAAGTCCACTTGCTGTGCTCAAAGTTGTTTTGCAATGAATCATTGGATCAAATGTTTTTTCTCCTTTTTAAGAGAGCTATAGAAAAATGTCCGCCATTGTTTTTACTGTTTGTATGTGTGTGTGTGTGTGTGAAATGTGAGTTATCAGATTTGTGCGATGAGCCACAAATTTGTGAATGCTGAAGGACTGCTTCCTTTCTTCTATCACATGTACCCACCACTCTCTGTACCAGTCTACCTTTCCGCATAGAGATGATCATCAGTATTCCTTACAGCACCCTAAGCCGGTGAACCAAGCGGATCTGGAGAATATTCTGGTACCTCGTCCTCCTGCAGATCCCAGTAAAGGGAGTCAGAGAAGAGGCTCTGCTAATCGAGCCAGAGTTCCATCTGCAATTAGCTTGGATGGCACGGAGCAAGTGTCAAGATCTGGATATGGGGATGGTAGGATACATCTGCATGTTATGCTTTATTTGGGCAATGCTGATCCATAGGTATTTGGTTTATATTGTAAATTTGGCTAATTTGAACACTGTAGTGTAACGTTAGCTTTGAGTGTTCAAGTATTGAGCATCATGTTTCTGTGGAAGTAATGTTTTACCAAATGGGTGAAGCGTTTTTCCATGTACATACTTTTAATGTGAAAGACTGCCATTTTGGTGAAATTGGTTGTCTAAATTCTACCTGTATATCCTTTCTGTGAAGGTTATGTGAGTAGAGTGGATGTCGTTTAGCTATACAGTAAATATATATAGAATGTGTCTCTAAAGTTTGATTTTTATCACAGAAAAGAACATTTGTTCTATTGTTTCGAGTATAACCTTGCGAGATTCCATTCCTCTTCTTTCATCTGTTGGTTTTTTTTCTTTCTGTGAGCCATCATTCTTTTTCCCGACTTTTGGTCTGTTTCTTGGGCTATTCTCCTATGTTGCTGGAAAGAACCACTGATAGCCCCTACTTCTTTTAATAAATGTGTATTTCTTTTCAGTACATCCCTTCACTTTTTTCCTGCTTTCTCTAAAAATGCTCTTGTTCAAAGTTTAACCAGGTTATATATAAGATGTTGGTGGATACCATTCAAAGATCCTTCTTCTTCCCTCCACTTTCCTCCAAGATATTTCTGTTTGTCTCTTTGTTTTTCTTTGAGCAGTATGGCCATTTTCATATTGATGGTCTTTTTTTTTACTAAAACTAAACTTAGCTGAACATCTTGAATGAAAGCAAAAATGAAAAGGCTTTTGTTACCTTCATCCTCTGCTACTTCAGAAGCTTCAGCAGCAGACACAGCCCGTGAGAAAGCTTATACCGAGACAGCCCGTGGGTCTGGGGATCAGTGCTTACCAGATGGTGCTGAGAGGGCTCCGGGAGGCATAGCAGCGCCCTCTAGTGCTGGCAGTGACGGCAGGTCGGGCAGTGCTGGGAGCAGGAAGTCCAGTGCTGGCAAGTCTAGTCGCACAAGTAAGTGTAACTCCTCGGGTCTGCTAGAGATTTTCTTGTTTTGTGTTGTGACAGGTGATAATAATAATAATATTGGTTTGTCTGTTATGAACTGAATATGCCCTTTAGAGTGTAAAGTAAAGAAAACAATGGCACACGGCTACTTATGATCATGAACGCCGCAACTCACCTTTCCTAAGGTGGTGTGCTTGTCTGCCTAAACATAATGGTTAGTTGACTAAACCTTCTTTTATGGATTTCTTTCTGACCTTCAAGTGCTACTCTTTTGAGAATTTTTCACATACAGAACACTTATGGTCCGTTGTGCCAGTGTCAATGTCAGGATTTGACGATCTTGATTTCTTTACTTCACTGGCTGCTTCTGCTTTCTGAAGTTTGTTTTTCTAACATATTATTCCTCGCTCATAATGAAGGTACTTTTGTCTGATAATCGAAGAACTGGCTGCAATGTTTATTGACATCAAAAGTTAACCTTGGTTGATGAACCTTATCGTGAATAGGTGGAGGCTGCCAATGGTGGGTCCTACTTCTTCATTATCTCTCTGATGTTCCTGTCTATGTTTTGCATTTACCCTGCTCTATAGTTTGAAATTGCATGAATATGTGTGTGTAGGTGGTGGGGGATGGAGGGGTCACCCAGATGGATGGGTGTCTTTGTAACTCAGAATACATTGTCTTCTGAACCATTGTCTGTGGCGCTGTGACAGGGCGCATAGCCATTGCTTTCAGAGGACATTTTTAAAATTCCGGTGTGGGGAAGGTATATAAGCCACTGTCTCATCTTTCTGCCAATATGTTGTATCCCACTCACACCAGATTCCGCATAGTGCTCACACTTATTTCATAGTAATTCCTGTAAAAAAAAATTAAATGCTTGAGTTTGTTTTAGGGGAATTTTTTGGGGAAAATTGTGTACTGACCTTAAATGGTGTTGTATGTTCAAGGGTTAATAAAATTGTTTTGTTTTGTTCATTTAATCCTGATCTTTGTTTCGGCAAAATTTTATTGTAACAGTGCTTCAGTTTTTATTTTAAATTTTTGTATATGAATGCCTTGGTTCATTAAATGTATTTCAGGCAGTGCTGGCAAACGTGATGCTGAAGATTTTGAAGAGATTTACACTTTAGAGATTGAGCCTCTAGTCACAGAAATGGCATCATTGACGAAAAGTAAGTTCAGACTTCATCCTTGATTCTGTTTTGTTACTGCTGTGGTGAAAACTGACATTTGGTCAGCCTACAGTGGTGGAAATGATCAAAGGAAATCTGAAGGAGTATCTGAACTCATCATTGTACACTTTCTATATTTTAGAGGAGAGAACTTGTGGTGGGCACGGCCCTCCTGGTACTTTATAAACTAACATGTGATGGAAACCTTTAGCTGCGCTGTGTTAGTTTGGTAAGAGTTTAACGGTGCTCGCAACTGCATATGGTCTTAATTAAGATAGATTCTTAGGGTATGGGGGAGGGGGACCAGCAAACTTGTTTAGGCTGGGCTATGTTGGTTCTCATAGATTGTGAAGCGCATAGAGCTTGCTGTTGAGCGGGGATTTGCGATATACAAATGCTATCTATTATTATTATTATAAAAATGAGTAGACAAAAATGAAAAATGTTATTGAGTTAGAAATAAGTTGCACTTTTCCACATGCTTTTTATGGGGGAAATGAAATTATTTTTCTGTGCTTTAGTTCTGTACAGACTAACACAAAATTTCTGCTATCTCTGTTTTTTCAGAGAAAGATTGTGATCGAATGTATGAGTTGGCAAGCCAGTTATATACTACCCTGGAATGCCGCAATTGCTTGACGCGCCAGTTTCAGCATAGGTCGAATATCCTGAAGATTATCTTCAAGCTTTTAGACGTGGATGAGCCTCGAGTTCTGTTGAGAATGGCCCGGCTCATTCTTGCTGTGAGTGTATTGTGTATTAATGGATTTAAAAGATATTAAAGCTTTTTACAATGTAATGGAGTAGTGTCAGCGGAAAAGAACAATTCATCTCAGTCAGCACCTTCTTGGTATCTTGAAGAAAAAAGAAGGGGAGCATGCTCTTGAATTTACAATGTGAGATGAAGAGCACTGCTGGGTTTTTTTGTTTTGTTTTGTTTTGGGTTTTTTAATTGTTAAATAAGGTTGATATTAGAACAGAAGGAGAAAAAGGTCAGATGCTTTTTAAAAAGTCAGAAAGGTTTTTCTTAACTTTGTATGATTAAAGAGATTTTGGACTCTAGTTCTGACAATTTACAGGACTGCTTAGATGTTGAGCTTTAAAGGCACTACACAGTATGAAAAGTCTATGTAGATAAAAGTCGTCACGTAAAAGTTGTATCAAACTGTCATCACTATTTACCAGTAATATACTTCCATTTGTATTTGTACGCAGTGATGAACTTGTACATCCACATGGCAGACATGTGTAAAATTTCTGACCGGCTTATTATAAATTCTTTAGATAATTGTTCACAGTGTGACAAGGAACCACCACACTTACTTCTTGGCAATATATATATCTTTCATTTTACGCTGACTTTTACTATCTCTTCCAGTTTAAAGTGACAGGGAATAACCTGTTGAATGTGTGCAAACTTGTGTTCAAAGTGAGTCGGAATGACAAGAACGATTCATTTTTCCTGGAGGAGAATATTCTCAGTGAGTTTGATGATTGTATTGTTCTCAAAGTGATAAATGGTGAGAGTAGGACTGAACTAGCACGTTCATAGTTTCATCTCTTAACTTTATCATTATTGAAAATATTTTTTAAAGGGTTAAAAACTACAATTTTAGAAATGACATATTTTCATATGGTCGTTTTAGAGTTAACATACTTGTCTGGTCAGCTTGAAAGGTGGTTTGATACCTAGCCATTGGTGTAGAGTTCTGAAATTAGATAATCAATTTGGTTTGAAGGGTACACATCTCAAAACTATTACAATTTGAAATGCATTTTTTTTCTTTTGCTCATCATGAATATTTTATCAAAGTGTGCAGTTGAGTATGTCCTTTAAATATACAATGCATGTTTTGTTACAGGCTGCTTTTACTCATACCATCAACATTCACATTTTGTTACAGGTTTCTTTCACTCATACCATCAACATTCACATTTTGTTATTGGTTGCTTTTACTCATACCATCAACATTCACATTTTGTTACAGGTTTCTTTCACTCATACCATCAACATTCACATTTTGTTACAGGTTTCTTTTACTCATACCATCAACATTCACATTTTGTTATAGGTTTCATTTACTCATACCATCAACATTCACATTTTGTTATTGGTTGCTTTTACTCCTACCATCAACATACACTTTCAGATCTTTTGCTTGACACGATTAGAAGTTCTGATCCCAGTTCGTCGTGTGAAGCCCTCATCTATTGTGTAGGAGCAGTGAAATTTCTCACAGGGAATCCAAATATTCTGAAACGACTGGCGAAGCTGGACTGTGTTAAGACTCTTGCCACCCTTATGCATTCCATAAACAAAATAGTAAGAACTTTTTATTTTTGTTGTACATTCCTTGTTCCATACATTGTTGTTTGTATTTTCGTGGGTAATAAAATGATAATAATAATGCATTGCATTTATATAGTGCTCTATCCCATTTGAGTATAAGCTCTGAGGATACCTGTGTTTATAGGTGCTCTTGTCTGTTGTTTTCCTTCTATTTCTTTTCTATGTTACAGGAATAAACGTCACCTCCAATGAATAGGTGGGGTACAGCTTTCAGTTTTGTTATTTCACAGGTTTCTGTGAATGTAGATAAATACAAGATCCGTAATGTTATAGGAATGTCTGTCCTTAATGTTTTGAATCACAATGCTTGTGCTTGTGAAAAAAGTAAGCTCTGTTTTGTGTGCCCTCTTTTTGCTTCCTTGATTAGTTTTGGGTTTGGTTTCAAATGATTCAAGTTTCTCCTATCCTCAGCGCTACTGCAAATATGTAGCTCTGACTTGGACTGTGGCCAAATATGAGAACTGAGCTCTTCCCTCATCCTCTTTCCTCTGCTGGTTGTAGCGGGGGAGCCAGTTGCACAAAATATGGGCACTTAAGCATGTCTACATCAATGTGAACTGAGAACTGTCCATTTAGATTCTTCTACAATTGCAGTTATTTGCTTTGTGTGTGCTTTTATAAAAATGCCATCCTGTTCTGATTTCTTTCTCAGAATCGAGAAAATGGCAAAACGTATGATCAGTATGGACACATATTGGTTCAGGTGAGGATGCGTTTTTATGCTCTGCTTCTAAGGATTCAAGTTAAGTCTTGTTTTGTGATTGTTCTCCATTTGTCACCGCACAGTTGCTTTTGTAATTTGTGTATTGAGGACTACATAAGCATTCTAGTCACTGATTTGCTGTGTTGCATTGAGAGCATTGTGTTCAAAATATGGCGAGTTAGTTCAAGGGTCACCCTTTTTCCTCTGTTGTAAATCTGGGTAGTCTGGTAATATCATATCAAAGTGAGTGTCTCAGCAAGTATTTATATTTTTCTTCCTTGAGCTGCATTATGGAACTTTATGGAAAAAAACAACTGTTCCTTACTGTTAATTTAGGTTCATAACATTTTTGCTTGTGAACTAACTAATTGGTCGCTTTTAAGCGCAAGGGGGCTATCCCGAAAAATGCTGTTTCGAGAAAATAGAAGGTAAAGTTTTTGTATCCTTATTCAGTTTCTTCAAAAGACAAGGAGAGTTTTCTTTAAAACCAAACAAATATACTCACCAATGAAACCAAACTTCTCCTATAAGTAGGGCAATGCCCACTTTTGGTGTAGGTCAAGATTTCTGGAAACCCCCGAAATTTGGGTTAACCCGCTTGTCCTTAAAAGTGACCTATTGTTATTTTCATTATTTCAGTTGGCTGCGGCATTGAGGAATCTAGCAGACACAAGCTCAGGTCGTGATCGATTTTTGACTCATCATGTGATCGATGGGCTTGTCACACTGATGGACACTTACCCAGGGGATAGTGACCTTATGTTGTACATCTCTAGAATATTGAGGTGAGTCTTTTTGTGGTCTTACCTACACATAGGTAAAAACTCAAGTAAAACTCCTGACCTTTTAGTATTCTTTATGTGTACATTCTCTGCTTATCCCTTTGTAAAAGTAGCATTGTCTGCTGGGAGGGGGGGGGGAATTTTTCCCATACCCTTTGCTGATATTTTTATTCAAGTAAAAATATTGTTTGCACTTATATATATTAATTGTGTTGCAAGTGCTGCAAAAAACTCTTCCGAATAAAGTTTGTGTACACGAGGGTGTACAGGTGTACAAATTATTTCAAGACTTATGAGAACATAGATCCTGCTAACTGCTGTGGTGCTGTAGGTGGGTTTTTAGTCATTTTCTTGTTTTTCCTTGAATGTTGCACTCAACGTAGTATCGGACCCAGAATGTTTTTTGTTTACCTGGCATTGCAATGGAGGACCAAGTATTTCACTCTTAAGGTGGCATACTGATGTGTCTTGTACAGCTTTAAACGTTCAACAACAAGTACGTGAATCATATTTGTCGCAAACTATCCCATAGGTTTCTAGATAAGAAATGCAGATGTGTGGTGTTAGATCTTCATGATTATTGTGTTTCTCAAATTTTTGGGTACTGTTTTCATCTCTTTAGTTGTGTGCTCAAATGTGAGAAGTAAGTGAAAATAGAATTTCTGGTGCCTGTGTTTTTCATTTCAGTTGACTGGAAAGAATGAAATGAGTGAATTTGAAGTTGCTACTGCTCTAGTGCTTATCCTTTTTCTGGTTAACAGTTCTTGTGATGATCGTTGTGCGAATCACCAATGGGTCGTTGTTGACCTTGGGGTGTTCAGGGAGTTTCAAGGCTTTCTACGTTTTTGGCTTTGTCTCTGTGGGAGGAAGTTATTAAATTCAGAGGTCCTCCATAAAAAATAAGTCTCTTTATCGAAACGGGCATTAAAACCCATGCCTCATCGTCTCAAATTGGCATTTCAATGTGGCATGAATATTGTACCTCTCTCAGGATCGATCAGAATTGTGTTGTGAAATCAAATTATTAATTATTTTTTTGTTCTGTTTCAGTAAAATAACTCTCCACACAGACTGCTGTTCAGTATTAGCCAACCAGCACTCATGCTACAGGGCTTTCGTGAATTTGCTCAAGCAGCACTTACTCAAAGACGTGAGTGTACACTTTATTTTTGTGGTACTCCATTCAGAAACAGATACTGTGTTGTATAACTTGTTGTCAGTAATAATTGTTTTACCTCAAATGCGGACTTTGATTAGTCTTTATAAGTGTTGTTTGATAAGGAAGAGGAGATAATGCATTTTGTGCCCTCTTATTCGTGATGCACAGTAAAGTTTTTGTGTGTTTTGTTTCACTCATAGTTCACCGGGAGCTATGACTCTTTTGTGCTCAGCCAATTTTGTCATTCAAGTTTTCAGCATCTCAAACTTCATAAAACTCTCTCTCTCTCTCTCTTTCTTTCTCTCTCTTTCTCTCTCTCTCTCTCCCTCTCTCCCTCCCTCTCCCTCTCCTTTCCCCTCTCTCCCTCCCCTCTCTCCCTCTCCCTCCCCTCTCTCCCTCTTCCTCCCTTCCCCCTCTCTCCCTCTCCTTCTTCCTCCCTTCCCCCTCTCTCCCTCTCCCTCTTCCTCCCTTCCCCCTCTCTCCCTCTCCCTCTCCTTTCCCCTCTCTCCCTC